ACACACACACACACACACACACACACACACACACACACACACACACACACACACACACACACACACACACAGATACACATTTGTCACACCCAGAGAAGTGCAGAGTCAATAGCAGAAGTAGGTCTGTTATTCCAGTTGAATGATCTCAGAGCAACGATGGATAAATTGTTGGAACTAAGGTTCAGTGTTAAGTCAGTTGACCGACCTCGTGCAGTGACACTCATGCAGAAAAAATGCTGCAAACACTCAGGACATTCAGCTCCCACCGTCTCTGCTTGGTCCTCAAAATTCATCCAGCAAAATGACTCTGTTGTCTTAAAATGAGACTTTTATCTTTCGTACGGAAAGTGGAGAACATGTGATTACCTGTTAGTGTTTTTAAAAAAGCACAGTGGGGGGATTGTGCAGCCTGGGTCAATGGGGGCTTGTATCAGATCACAGGTCACTGGGCTGCTGAAGCTGTGATGGAAACATCGGTCAACATAAAGATGATGGATGGGTGGGTGGAGGGAGTGTGAAGGGAGGATCGAGCGGTCTGTGTTCGTGTCTCTGTCAGTGTTGGTGATATTACTGCAGCCAAACAGAGACCTTTGTGCTGCTGCAGAATGTAAGGCACAAAAAAAGAAGAGTAGCTTAAAAGGCTGCAGTCTCTGTTTGAGAAATACCATCTGCAATTTGTGTCACTGCAATTATGCAACTTGTGGGTGTGCGGTTTGTGTGTGTGTGTGTGTGTGGGGGGGGGGGGTTCAGCTTGTGCAGCAGAGAGAAGATGTAGCTAGGATGTGAAATGGTGGCTCTCTTTGAGTGTTCTGTCCTGCTGTTTGGCATTTGCTTATTGTTGGGTTCTGTGCTTCTTTAGGTAATGGATTTGGAGGAGTGTGGCCTTGCAGTGTCCCGGCAATTTTTCTAATCACTTTAATCCATGCCTTTATGCATCGCACACAATATGAGGCAAGTGACTCACATGCACTTAAGCAGACTCAGCCATGTGTGCAGTAACATGAGTGATTAAAACAATAACACACTGTGTTCAAAAACAGCCATAAATGATTCTGGCTAGAACAGGTAGAGAAAAACAACAACACAAATTTAATGTTATTATCCTCATAATAGACACAGAAATTGCTTAAATTTATGCACATGGTCAAAACGGAAGCTCACACGAATTAGAGAAAATGTGTTTTCTGCAAAAATGCAGCGTTAATGCTGAGTGCTAAAGTAAAAATAAATAAATAAATAAAAATAAGTAGGTCTTCTGGACTGGTTCTTCTTTAATGAAATGTTTCATCTCTCCTCCAAGAGATTTCTTCAGTCTGAGGAGTTAAAGTTCTGCTTAAGGTAAAGGTAAAGGTGCTTTATTTGTCATCAGTGTATGTTTCCACACAATGACGAAATTGTGCTCTGCATTTAACCCATCCACACCCAAGTGGAGCAGCGGGCAGCCATGTGAGGCGCCCGGGGAGCAGTGAGGGTTAGGTGTCTTGCTCAAGGACACCACGACATGTGGGTATGGCGGGGAGTCAAACCTAAGACTTTCAGGTCCCAAGCCGGCTGCTCTACCACTACACCACAGCCGCCCRAATGCCTAATTTGCTAATTAAGCTAAAACTGAGCTGTTAAAGCTAAAAGAAGCAGAATACTAGTTAAAAGTCAAATACTAAAATGCTAGCTAAAATCTAAATATAGCAAAAGACTGATTCAAAGCTAAAAAAAAAGGCAAATGCTAGTTAAAAGCTAAATATAATATAACATGTATAATCATTTTTAAAGTAGCCTATAAAAGTTACAAAAGTCAGAGCACCCATCTGTTGAACAAACCAAACGTTTTGATGTATACACGGACAAAATAGCACAAATTCACATAATTTATCTGCTGTTTCACTGCACATGGGTGTAAAACACGCAGTCAGCTCAGCTTATTGTCCGGCACATACAAACACAAAGCTGTTATAATAAAAAGTCTGTGACGCGTCTTTAAGCTGTTGTTAAGCGGCTCTAACATAATTTGTCACTTCAGAGCAGCTGATGGCAGGACCAGAATAATAAATGTATGGTTTAGGGAGGAAGGCAAAGAAAATCGACACCCAGTGGCACATAGACACAAACCGAGCAAGCAAGCGATGGTGAGCGAACACAACAGACTCCAACCCCCCACTTGTGCTGACCCTCACCCCTGATTTCCATTTCTATGGCTTGCTCCCATCAGTGCAGAGTCTGTTGCGGCACCATGACACCCAGAGAATAACCTACTGGAGCTCACTGGTCTTAGCGATTCCTCAGCCAATGGCAAGTCTTATATAACAGACCTACTTTTATACTCCCTAATAGAAACACTATTGTTGCCACACAACCAGACTCTTTGGAAGATGTTGGGGTCCAGTGGAGCAAGGGGAAGCAAGATGGGTGAGAGGAGACGGGGAGAATGCAGAGAAGAGAAGAGCAGAGAGAGGTGGATGGAGAGGAACGAAGCATTGATGTGTCGGAGAATTTCAGGAGGGACTGAGGTGTTGTTCTGAGACACTCAGAAACCGATGAAGGAGAGGAGAGCGGAAGAAAAGAGCCTCTCAGACTGAAAGGAAGGGAGACGAGATTGATGGTGTGAAGAAGAGGAAGGAGGCCTATTTAGTGGAGGAGAAATGGAAGAGTGAGCTCTTCAGGGACATTTTCTTTTCATCTTAAACAGCAAACATGTTTAGTAATTTGTCAGTAAATCCAGCAGCCCACACACACACACACACACCCACACACACACACACACACACACACACACACAC